TGTGTGTGTGTGTGTGTGTGTGTGTGTGTGTGTGTGTCTGTCTGTCTGTCTGTGAGTGTCTGTGTGTGTTTTATTATAAAAAGAAGTTGTATTAGATGAGCTCTAATGCCCTTCCTACCTCTAGCATTTCTATAACATCTCTAACATGTTAAATGTAGATATAAGGCAAAGAATTCACTCTCCAGTGCCCGTAAACTTCTCAGAAAAGGTGGTACAGAAGAACCAATTCATTGATTTCAGGGAAAATCACAATAGACCATTGCCTCTCTTACCCTGTCTCCAACACCACCTCTAAGGCCCTGAGGGCCAGGTAGACCAGGATCTCCAATGCTGCCCTTCCGACCCTGTAGACAATACAGCAGAGGGGAAGTTGGTTATTGACGTTTCTGAAAAATAACTCCGAGATAACGAAAGTTCCTTCCTGGATGGAGCTCATTCTCTCCATTCAGATTCATAACTCAAAAGGTAATTAACATAGGCACAAGAGAACACAGGGAGCGGAGGGTTGACCACCAATCCAAGTGTTTTTTTGTGTCATTTTTTGAGTAACAAGGTTATATCCTCCTGGGAAGAAAATTTCATTTCTTAACGTTTCTGGATCTGGCATTTCTCCACTCTTACTAGACTGCAAGCCTCTGAGGGCAGGCACAATGTCAGTTTTCATCTATTTATCTCCTGTGCTAAGACAGGACAGGGTGCTATCATAGATGCATAATAAATTTCTTATTTGAGTTAGAAACTATTATCCATTAAACCCACCACAAAATGAATTCCTTTGCCCTTCTCACCTGCCCCATTTGTCTTACTACACGGGCAATTTTTGATTATACACAGAAATATTGGAATGTTGTGGGGGGGGGGACAGAGGATGTGACAGTTCTCCAAGTGCAAATATGAAGGACCAATTATAGATGACAGCCCTCCTGCAAACAGCACATTTAATCCATAAGATTAGATTATCCACAATAGTGGATAATTAGGAATAGCAGAACAAAAACAATCATTTCTACTTAGACACTGGGATGCATTAAGTAATATTCCCTTGGCTCCCTAATTATGTCTCTCAGCCTCTGAAATTACCCTAGGCTCTGGTAAGTGGGCTTTACCTTATGTTGGTGGGATCCAGGCCTTTACCTCATTTCCTGGTCATCTCCAAACAAATTCACCTGCTCTCCAGTCATTATCCCTACCTCCTCCTCACTGGAAATTTAGATTCATCCCTGGAATCACTTTGGGCTCTGAAAGGTGAGCCCTTAAGTTTCCTGGACCGGGACTTACTTCTCAGTCACCTCCAAACAGTGCCATTGTGTGCACACCCCTTGCCTTACTCTTACTCCCTTCTAGCTTCCCTTTCTGTGTTGTCTTCTCTCGCTAGAATATAAGCTCTGTGAGGGCAGGGATTGTTTTCTTTCCTTATATTTATATCCCTGAAGCTTAGTGCAGTGCCTAGCACATAGTAAGTGCTTAATGAGTGTTTTACCTATTCATTTAGCTATCTAAAGTCAAGCTGCACTTCCAGAACACCCAATTCCGGATGACTAGGGTCACTATATAGATTGGTCAAGGAAAATACACCTATTTGATATGAGGACTTGATTGTGGTTACCAGTTCTAGGAGTAGCGTGATCCATTGGCTCCTACCCTCCCTGACTTGCATCAGACTCCAGCCAGGAGTAGCCCAAAGCTGCAGCCTACTACTCATTCTTCCACGTACTAGGAAAGAGCCAACAAGAAGGGATCCCCCATACATTTTTGCCCTCCTCCCTTGACACTTGGCCTCCTTTTTTCCCACATAGGAATGAATGGTCCTTCCTAAATATTAGTCCCAATATTAGGCCCAAATTCCCTACCTCATCCTTTGCTGACCTAATGACTTTACTGACCTGAAAGCCTCTGACTCCAGGGGGTCCTGGTGGGCCCTGCGGACCAAGTGCCCCCTGAAAGACGCAAGCAAGAAATATACATCATTAACAAAAGTGGTTCAGAAGCAGCCATTGAGAAGAAACAGCACAAATAAATAACTTAATTGGAAGGAGGTGGGTATCACCAGTGCGAAATCAAAGGGACATAGCAAAGGACCATTGCATAAAGGAGGAAGAGGTTGTTTCTTCACCCCTCCACTCCTAATTTGTTTAAAGATTCCTTGTAATGGTTCTCTGGGGTAACAGCCCTTAACCCTGAGCCCCTGGAATACCAAATAACTGGAGGACCATAGAAGGGTGAAATAAATGACAGGTTGAAAGACAAGATTTCTTCAGGCTGAAAGAAGCTGAGATTGGGGTCTATAGTCAAAGAGGAAGACTGTAATACTACTTAGCAAATCCTTGTGTGGATTTGGCAGATGTAATGACCCTTCTTAGAACTTGGAAGTTATTTTAGAACAAATTAAAGGTCATCTACTTGACACAGATGGAAGCAAATAGATAAGACTTAACACTGACTCCCCAACAGCAGGTATAGGCTATAAATACAATGAGTTCAGGAAGGACTTTTGACAAAAAAGGAAATGAAAGAAATGCAGGGCTACTGAAGGGAAAATTGAGGTTAACTGGGACCTTTTTGTCCTTTGAAATTATGAAAGAGAAGACAAGCTTAATCTACCCACACCACCCCGTCAGAGCTGGAATGTTGGGCTCCCCACAGAAGGTTGTAGGTTGACCCAGGAGAAATGGTCACCAGGTAAGACCCTTCCCCTTGGAGCTTAACTGAAATGAGACAAGACAACTCCTTAAGTGGTACTGGTTTCCTGGGATCAGAATGTAGGATAATGTGGAAATCCATGACTTAGAGGCAATGATATCTCTTTACCCTAACACAAGGGTCAAAAGGAGGTGAGTCCACAGCCATTCAGAGGCAAGACAAGAAAAGAAAATAGCCTTGGTATTTCCTGGTCTCTTCAGTCTCCACATTTCCAACATGGAACCTAGGAAAAGCTATCTAGGAGCCATGCTGAAAAGCCTAGATGCCTTCAGTGTGGTGGGGGAAGCATCTTTGTTGTGGCTGCATGACTCAATACTATTTAATTTGGCTTATATTTGTGAAGGTTAAAACTGAGTCACTTGTTACTCACTGATGATCCCCTGTGTCCAGCTTCTCCTCTCTCTCCAGGAACTCCAACATCTCCCTATAAATACACATAAAGAAGAGAATCAGTGCGGGTAGTTAACAACATGGAAATTATATAGCTGCAAGAATGTCAAAATTCCTTGCTCCCATTTCCCACCCCCTTGCCATCTCCACCATCTATGTACCTCACCAGAATGAAGCAGAGAGGCAGACCAGCTATTTTCATTACCTCCTGCCAATGGGACCGTCCAAGGTTGGCTGAGTTAGCCAGAGAAGTAGGTGAAAAAGGGATTGGAATAATAATAAAATAATAGCTAACACTTACATAATGCTTTAAGGTTTGCAAAGCATTTTACAAATATTACCTCATCCTCACAACAATCTTGGGGAAATGGGTACTATTATTGTTCCCATATTACTGATGTGGAAACTAAGGCTAAGAGGTTAAGTAACCAGTCCAGGGTCACACAGCTAGTAAATGTCAGAGGCAGGATTTGAATTCAAATCTTCCTGACTCTAACTCCGGTGTTCTATCTACTACACCACCTAGCCGCCTAAAAATAAATTACCTTAAGAAGTTACAGAAGAGGAAGAAACAGTAAATGTACTTACAGGCATACCAGGTTCTCCTGAAGGGCCAGCTTCACCTCGCTCTCCTTGGTTGCCCTACAAAGAGGAAAGAATTCTCAGCAATAGTCTACAGCTTCCTTTCTCCATGTAGAGAGATGGTCCTCCCCTCCCGTCTAATGGAGTTATACCAATAAGAATCATTAAATAATTCCAAAACTAGAAGGGACTTTAGCTAATAATTGCTAGCATTTATAAAGTACTTTAAGATTTGCAAAGTGCTTTACAAAGATTATCTCATTTTATCTTCACAACAATCCTGAGAGGGAAATGCTATTATTGTCTCCATTTTTCAGATGAGGGAACTGAGGCAGACAGGTTGTGGCTTACCCAGGGTCACATAGTAAGTGTCTGAGTTCAGATTTGAACTCAGGTCTTCTTGACCATTCGTCCAATGCTCTATTCACTGTGCGACCTAGGGATCATCTAATCTAAACCCTTCATTTTGCAAATGAGAAAGCTGAACCTCAGGATGGGGAAGTGAGTGTTCAGGTTTACTTAGCTAGTAGGTGATGAAGTTGGAACTGCAGGTGAGACTTCTAGATTCTGAGCCCAGGGCTCTTTCTCCTATATCAGTGGTCCTCAAACTTTTGGTCTCAGGGCCCCTTGATATTCTTAACATTTTTTGAGGATTCCTTTATGATCCTAAAAATTATTGAGGACACCTTAAAGAGCTTTTGGTTGTATGGTATTTACTGCATTAGAAATTAAAATGGATAATTAAGAATATGTATCAATGTATTTAAAATAATAATAAACTCATTACATGTTAACACAAATAACATTTTAAATTAAAAATAACCATATTTTCCAAAACAAAAAAAATAGAAGAGTGGGACTGTTTGATGTATTTTTACAAATCTCTTTAGTGTCTGGCTTAATAGAAGACAAATGGATTCTCATATCTGTTTCTGCATTCAATCTGTTGTGATATTGTTTTGAAGTAAACAAAGAAAATAATCTTACACAAATATGTAGTTGGAAAAGGATGGAACATTTTAATAGGCAAATAACATCTTATAATTATTATGAAAATAGTTTTGACCTCTTGGAGCCCACTGAAAGGATTTCTGGAACTTTTTGGTCACCACAGTATAGGGACCACTGCTCTATACCATGCTGCCTTTAGGCGGTGGGAGAGACATCACAAAATAGAATTTGGAGACAACCTTCTTACTTCATGAATGACAACTGGAAGCTTTGGTCATGATAACAAGCTTCCTCAAGATACAACCCTCCCATGACCATGGGAGAAAGAAACCACTTACCAGTTCACCCTTTTCACCTTTGGCCCCAGTTCGTCCAGGCAGCCCCTAGACAGACAGAAAGGAATGCCAGCTGGTCAAAGAGTGAATGGGAACTGCTATTACTAGTACTATCACATACCATTCTGAGTACACATATTTCACACACACTTCTGGTATTCTACTTCATATATATACATCTTGCCTCTTCAACTAAATTGTAGGATACTTGAGGACAAGGACTCTTTATTTTCCCCACAGTGACTAGCACAGGACTGGGCACAGAGTAGCTGCTCAAATGACCAACTGTTTGTGGGACTTTAAAGCAAAAACTCCCAAATACTTCAAATTCTTTTCTTCGCCTCATTAGCTTAGCACAGTGCCTGGCACATAGTAGGCACTTAATAATTGTTTGTTGGATTTAGCCTTAGGAGGGAAAAATCCCTCTATGGAGCACATATCTCAAAGAAAGATTAGTCATTAAACAATTGGCAATTTCTCCTATACATATTCCCCACCCCCACCTCCCCCACCACCCCACACACATATACTCATGCCAGATATAAGAAGTCAATCAGGAAGGAAGATGTGTGTATTCAGGGCTTACACTGCCCACCCCACCTTGTGCATGCACACACACATACATGCATACACATATTCTCCAGCCCTGCTACTAGTGACATGACAAGGTTCCAGAGATCTTGTCTGCTCTCTTGGCTTCCCACAAAAAAGACCCTGTAAATCTATGAAGCTCTTCTCAATGTCTCCTGCCCACACCACTAACTTTACTGCAGGTCCCTGGAATGGTCCTTAACATAGACACTCTTGGCCCTTCTTCTAACCCTCCTCCAAACACTCCTAGAAGAGCTGTGGAACACTCTTGTGTGTACTTACAGGGAGTCCATTGGGACCCTTCTCCCCAGGAGCACCAAATCGAGCTGCCTCACCCTATGAAAACAGAACAATTAGGAGAGAGTATGAAGGTGGAGGGTAGGAAGGTGAGACAGTTGATAAAGCTCAGACTATGGAAGGGCTCACAACTGCAAGCAGGTAATAGCACTTAAAGCACTTAAAGTAGGGAACCTGCAGCCTCGAGGCCACACGTGGCCTGGGGGCCGCAGGTTTCCCATCCCTGGTTTATCTTATCTTATTCTTTTCAAAAGTGTGAGTCCCAATTTCCCAAGTGGACTGTGAGCCCCTTGAGGACAGGGGATGTCTTTTCTACCTTTACCTAGCTCCCCCACGAAGAAGCTTAATGTAGTCCTGGGTCCTCAGTCTATGCCAACAAATACTGACTGAACTGAACGTGGTGCTTCATAGTTCCTGCTTGCCCTGGTTCCTTTTCTGACCATTGCCAGGTTCAGACAAAACAACCTGTCATCAGTCACCCACAGTTATCTGACCACACCATATAGCACATGCCACTACCACAGCCTGGCATTTTATGAGTTTGTCCATTAAACATCTGGCTAATTCCTGGATTTTCTCCAGGGCTAGTCACCGTCCCTCAGGACTAAAGCCAAATTTCAGGGCTGCTACTTGGCATGGTCCGAGGGAAGATATGACATGGAAATGATTCAAGAGGAAGCATGGATGTTGACTACAGACCTTCTCACCATCATATCCAGGGATCCCATCTCTGCCGTCTTTGCCAGGCATACCCTGCAGACAAGAACATATAGCTGTCCTACCTCCCATTCATTGCGGGGGGTGGGGTACTATGGATGGGGATGTCTCTTATACCGTCAGTCATGGTTGATGAATTTTGATGAACTGCTTTTTTTTCTTTCTTTTAAAAATCTTTGTTGAAAGGGATGTTTTATTGGTTAGAGGAAGGGGATAGATAAATATTTGGGAAGAAGGATAGATACTGGACCTGTCATTTCATTGGTAGAAGGAATTCTAAGGAGATGAAATATCTTCTGTGAATGTAGGTCAGCATCTTTGCTGCAACTTAGAGCCTTAGAGAAGTTCTTGCTTAGAGAATTGAAATGTTAAGTGACTTTATCAGGACCACACAACCAGTGTGTCTCACAGTAGGGATTCTATCCACTATGTCATGTTGCCTTTCAGTATTTGGAAAGAGATGTGATGTAAAAAAAGAAAGGAAGGAAGGGAGGAATAAAGTACCAAAAATAAGATTAATGCTTGTTAAAGAAAAATAAAAGGAACCAGCAGGTTCCAGACTTTAAAGTATGTATACTTCTCCCCTACATCTTTGCTTATCAAAATTTTGCCCAGCTCAAGGTCTATCTCCCACCTCCACCTAGAAGCCTTTCCTGACTACCCCTGCTTTCACTGACCTCTCCTTTCTCAAATTTATCTGTACACCACATGCTTCAGTTCTTAATCATGTTCTATCCTCTAGTGTTCCACATATATCTTAGTTCCTGAGGTAGGCTGTAAGTTTCCTGAGATCAAGGACCATAACTTATTTTGTTTCCTCCATGGTAGAACTAAGCAGTGCCACCTCCCTACCCCAATTAATAACTCACTGAATTGAATAAAACAGCTGTAAACACTACTTATCTATAATCAGATGGAAAGGTCCAGAAATCTGAGGATATCTAGCTCCTTAAGGGAGAATTAGGAATGCATCCAAGCATCTGTACCAACAGATGGGAACAAAAGGAGAGTAAAGCTTCTATTCCCATCCAGGAATTCTCAGTCTTCCTCATTCTACTCTCTTCACACCTGCTACCATCCCATAGCAAAAAGAAGACGCAGCCAAGAGTGTGCCTTCAGGGGCAGCTACATGGCGCAGTGGATAAAGCAACGGCCCTGGAGTCAGGAGAACCTGAGTTCAAATGTGGCCTCACTTAACACTTACTAGCTGTGTGACCTTGGGCAAGTCACTTAACCCCATTGCCTAGCCCCCCCCCCAATTTTTTTTTTAAAAAAGAGTGTGCCTTCATAGGCTTACGGTTAAGTAGACATTTGGAGTAGCAGCAATGGAAGAAGACAGTAAGATAAGAGGGGGAAAAAAGAACAGGGGGGAGAGCAAAGAGAAAGAATGGTAGAGTTGATAGCATTGGCAATTCTAGGTAGTAGGTAGCCCACTTCCATGGCTCTTTCCTCCTCTGAATTACTCTTACGAGCATTCCCCACCTCTACCCCTCAACCCACGTTCAAGAAATTAACTACTCTGAAAGTCCCCGCAACCTATGTTCAAGAAATACTACTCTGAAAGTCCCCAGAACATTTTTTTTCATTGTGACTTCTGAACTTAAAACACAATAAAATGACTAAGTCCAAAACAGGACTAATTTACATTCATATTTTAAAGATATTTTGAAAGGATATTGCTTACAGAAGATAAAATAATTATGCTGACACCAAAACCCACAGCCCAACCAAAAGAATAAGATGTGCAAATATCTGTTGTCTCTCTCTACATGGGTTGCCATTGCCACCAGAATGCAGAGCAAGACTGTGACTATTTTACTGAAATAAAAGGGACTTACAGGCTCTCCAATAGGCCCAGCTACTCCAGGTAATCCTTTGGGACCAGGCCTGCCCTAAAAAAACATACAGCAAATTGCCAATCACTTGATACCAGATGAATAGTCAAACAAGCAAAGAAGATTCATACATTAGGGGAATACTGAGTCTCTGGCCAGAGCAACTTTGTGCATCTGAGGGTCTTCACTTACACCGAGTTGGGATCCAGTTCAGGCCCGTACCCTCACTGTAAATCTCCCACGGGTAGGGAGGGCATTCCTGGCATATTTTGCAGTACAATTGGTGCTAAATAACTCTCCCTCTCCTGATAATAGTAATATATAATAGAATAACATATAATATAATCACTGCCTTTGTAAATACGACCACTGTTAGCTTTGGCTGTAATGAAGCCCCATGTTAGCTCGGGGGTTAGAGTACAAACCGAATTAGGCCAAGGTCATGAATCCAGTTTCTTCCTAGGAAAACTAGTCCTACTTTGTCTCCTGGTTACCATGCACTTCCTTACTCAGGGGTGCATGGTAAACCAAGACATAATGAGTCTTACTGTCTTATGAGGCTTACCAGGTTCAGAGAGTGTGTACAATATTACATGCAGTCCTTCCCAACTACTGGTGAGGAAGTTGGGGTGAGGGGAACCCAATCACTCAGAGTGAATGTTATACTGATGGGTCAGAAGCATCATCTCTAAGAAGAAAGCATTATTGCATTACTCAGTAGAGAGTTTTGACATCTTTTTTTTTAAGAGTCTGCAAAGAACTGATTGATTTTGAGGAGTCAGTGGCAAAATTCATCTGGTGAGAAATCACAGATCCTGAGGCCTGTCATGACACTGGAAAAATGGATGTCTCATTTAACTTACCAGGTCACCCTTGGGCCCATGGAATCCCTCTGGTCCCCTCTCTCCTCGATCTCCCTGAAAGTTGAGACACAGATCAAGATTATTTTCTAGGAATTTAAATGTAGAGAAGGTTGTTAAAATACATTGAGAATGGCATAATTTTGCTAGCTTCCTGGTAGCTACAACTGAAGTTTTTATGAGTCCCTTATAATTCTCAGTCTATAGTCAGCAATCAACACTTTATTAGTAGTGATAATAACATTACCATGAGTTCCAATAGGAGTCAGTAGTAACAGTAACACTATTACTGTGAGTATTATTGATAAGCTTATATAATATTCTGATATTTCAAGGACCATTGTTTTCATCAGCATGGAAATTGATCTTCTCCACCAACTCAGATCTCCCAAACCTTTGTAGATGGTTTTAAATTTCTGTGCTGAAAAATGCATCGCCCTGCATCTAAGTGCATTTAGCTAAGCTGGTCCTCAGAGTAAAGACATAAAGTCTGTCACCCGGCCTAGATTTGAAGTTTTTCTATCCCAGGAAGACCTGTCAGAGCTTATGATTCCCTGGCATGGTCTTTGAGAACCTGAGGTCACCACCAAACCATGATAAAAGAGTAGAGGAGGACTGGAAGGGAAGGAAAAGGAAGAGAATTTTTTTTTTAATGGAAGAAATAGTAGTGATATTAATATAACCAGGCATTGTAATCCTAGGTAGTATTAATACTTAATAATGATATTACTCAGTCATAATAACGTTTTTATTAGATGTGACTTATTATGATAATAATTTATTTATATTAATCACATTAATAACAATAACTACCAGTTAAACATTTTTACAAAATTTGCAGATTCATTACACACCATTATCAGTTGAGAAAGGTGCCTTTTACTTCTGGTCACATCACTAGAGGATCTGAAAAGGTGATTATGGTATGTTGGAAAATGGTGTGTGTGTGTGTGTGTGTGTGTGTGTGTGTGTGTGTGTGTGTGTG